GATCCAAAGGAAAGGTTAGGTTGCCGGAAAGATATTGATGAAGCCCTCGACGAAATGAAAAACCATTCCTTTTTCAGAAGCTCGATAGATTGGGAACTGGTAAGTAGCCTTAATGACTATTCTAAAACTGAGGTAGCAGTGAGGAATTTGAATATTCTAAAGAAGAACTTTCACTTTAGTTTTGGAAGTTTCATCTGCTGTTTTGTCACATCTTGCTGTTACTTCACAAAAGCTATTTCTTTACAGCTTGAAGCTCGTCAAGTAACTCCACCATATAGTCCTGCGGTGACAAGTGACCGCGATTTACAGCATTTCGACACCACTTTCACTGATGAGGCTCCAAATCTTACGCCTGATGATCCGTTAGTTGCTTGACTTTATATAAAAGACTACACTTTATTGACTTGAAATCTCAATTTTTTCAAATTGCTAGTTAATTTGATATTAGTTCTCAAAAACTGTGCAGATGTTGTGTAAACGTGAACTTCTCACCAAATTAGACTGTCAGAGTGCGGAAACTTTTCGGCTATTGAGCATAAGGCTTTTTTTAGAGCATATAATTCTGCCATTGCGAGTTAAATTAAGCGGTTGAGGGAGTCTGGATGTTAGATTTGGAATAAAAATATTTAAATACGTTTGTATGGAGTTAAAGCGATGGAAAAAATTGAGATTTTAGGAAGTTTAATTTTTTTAAGACGTTATTTCACGCAGAATTTTCTTTTCCACGTAATATGGAGGTCCTAGATGCATATATTTTGGGGCAAAAAATTTAGATCATTTAAATGAACGAAATAAGAGCAATTACAGCAACGTGACAAAAACCATTGAGCTGATTTTTCGAAGTGAGATTTGCAAGCGACTAAAGTATATTTCACCTGTGGAAAATTGGTTCGGTAAAGGAATCTTACAGGAATTTATTTTTTTAAACCCATGTTGACTTTTTAAACTGGTTGTAACTTTTGATTTCAAGACCGTTTTGTTTAAAATTTTTTTTAGAGCAAAAAATATGTTTTCCTCAGAAATTGGAAAGCTCATTTTTGTATTATGCTTGCAAATTATTTTGCTCCACACTTTTCTTCAAAAAAATACGTACATTTTTTTTCCTGAAGGCATGAGCTATAGACTCTGCAAAATTTAGGATTAACTAGTTTTTTTTTGTGAAACAGCAGGTTTACATGTGCTGAAAGCAACTCTGACTGGGAAAACATTTCGGCGAGGTATGTCGACTGGTATTTTATTTTCCAAAATTCTCTCTTTATTTTTTTATATTTGATACCGGACTAGCAGGACCTTGAAAAAATGAAGTGACATTTGAAATAGTATACTCTTTGCTGTAAAAATAATGTTAGAGAAGCTTCTTTATACTTTTTTCACTTACAAGACTTTATGCAGTATTATTATTGGGGTTTACAAAAAAGATATGTAGCACATTCAGTACAAGTTATTTTAGGGGAAAAAGAGAGGATAATATTCATACCGAACATTTGAAATTTTTAAATGTGGTTTAATAAAAAAGTCAAAAACTAAGTATTATTAAGAACCAGCTTCAGTCATTTCTGTCACTTGTAGATTACCTTGTTATAAGATTTATTCTGCCAGTTTTACTGCATTAGCAGCTGTTTCAAATATAGCAGTCTATACTTTTGAGCTCTATATGTAATAGATGACGATGACATCGCTTTATAACGACAATTCTTTCTGAAAACTTCTCGTCATGAGGCTTCTTCAAAAAGGGGTTTTTGACGTCTCTTACCATATTATATACTGATGTTGTAAGTCAGATAGTAGAGCCATATAAGTGCATTATTATTTCTGGTTACTTTTATTCGTATAAGGCTTTTATTGAGTTTTATGATTTTACCACCAATTTATCTTAGGATAGTTTGTAAAGCTCAAAGTGATATTTTGATATAAATGTTGTAGAATTGGGTTTAGGAGTAGCGCCGCTAGGGAGTATGACTTCAGTAAGCTAATTATCTAAAAGAAATTTCTTGATTCTGCCTGACAAATAGCTAAGTTTTTTAACTTGCATAGTTGGTCATTATTATAAGTGCGCTTTCATGGATTTCTAATTTATCTGTTGTTTCATACCTTTTTACTCGTTCTTGCTTCTGATAATTATGGGATTTTTCTACTTTAGCAACATGTATGGTTTTTTAGTGTAACTTTTTTTGCTTTATTTGCTCTGCACCTCCAGCTTTTTCTTTTCTAGTTTGGTTTAAAATGGTTGCCATTCAAAGTTGCTTACATGATCTTGCAGCTGCAAGATTTGCATTTTGTAAGCTGGAATGGTTTATTTAAAAATTTTATTTCAATTTTCCTTTATTCATTCTTCTAGCCTGCTATTTGCATTCGGCTAAGCTGTTAGGGACAGATATTCTACATTATTCGTGCTTCGAGGCAAAATCTTTTGGAAAAGCTGTTAGGTATAGCGATTTGATCACTATATGCTGCTTTTGAGCATTTATCTCTACTCTTTTTTAAAACAGTTGTAGTTTCAAATTTAAAAGGTAGGGTCTAGGGCAACGGGAGCCTTAATATGTGTGTATGAAATACTTTACACTGACCATATTTATGTGGAAACTGCGCTGAAAATCCGCTTTTGAAATTCTTTTGGCAAGATTGGTGATTTGTATTTTTATAATTGGCAACAGCTTTGCTGCCGTTTTTTTATCTCTTTGTTACGTGCTTTCAAGAGCATTTAATTAAGCAAGTTATGTATTAAGAAGTTATAAAAGCTCTAAAAACTCAATAATTTGTTGCCGAATCACAGTTTTTTCAGTGTTTGAAGTCAATCCAGAAATAGGTATATGCAGTTCCAAACGCTTTTTTGAATTGGTTTTATCCTTAAGTCACAACTAAAGAAGCACTGTCATAGGTCTGATCTAGGTGGCAGTGGGTGGCTTTACGAGTACTTCACAAATATGCAATGTGAGGAAAGGGAAGCCATGGTATATGTAGATGCAGATTATTCGTAATCACTGTGACTCTCAAGTCTTGTTTTATTTAAAGTCTTAATAGTATTGCAGTTTGAGTTCTTGAGGGGTTGGAGAAATACGGGCGAGCAGAGCGCGTGTCTGTACCTGTTAATTTGTCTTATTGTTGTTCGTTTTCTTTTTTTTTTTTTT